CATAGACTTCATGCAGTTTAACTATGATAGATCTGTTCCTGACATAGACATAGACTTCATGCTGTTTAACTATGATAGATCTGTTCCTGACATAGACTTCATGCTGTTTAACTATGATAGACCTGTTCCTGACATAAACTTCATGCTGTTTAACTATGATAGATCTGTTCCTGCCATAGACTTCATGCTGTTTAACTATGATAGACCTGTTCCTGACATAGACTTCATGCTGTTTAACTATGACAGACCTGTTCCTGCCATAGACTTCATGCTGTTTAACTATGACAGACCTGTTCCTGACATAGACTTCATGCTGTTTAACTATGATAGATCTGTTCCTGACATAGACTTCATGCTGTTTAACTATGATAGATCTGTTCCTGACATAGACTTCATGCTGTTTAACTATGATAGATCTGTTCCTGACATAGACTTCATACTGTTTAACTGTGATAGATCTGTTCCTGACATAGACTACATGCTGTTTAATGGCAGTTTGTGGCATTATAAACCTTCAGGTTGACCACTGACTGCACTGTGATTGGTTGTCGTACATGTACAGTAAACACTGCACTGTGATTGGTTGTTGTACATGTACAGTAAACATTGCACTGTGATTGGTTGTCGTACATGTACAGTAAACACTGCACTGTGATTGGTTGTCATACATGTAACAGTAATTGTACAAATGTATTGATCAGTTATTCTTAAAAAAAGCTTCTGAATCTTACAATGCTAAGTGTTTTCATTCCATGGACCAATGACTTATTTCTAAATAATAAAGAAGAGACATATATATGTATATATGTTAGATATTTCATTTCTTTTTCATTGAAGGTAAAACTGAAAAGATAGAAGTCTGCTGCCCAACACCCTAACATTATTCACACATCTAACTCAAGTTAGGTTACTGTATGGTGATTTAAAAGGACTCATAAACCCCACAAGTATAAAGAAGACAAACTTTTCCAATACAGTATAGTGTTGATCTGCATGGCTTTGAATCAATAACAAAAGCTCTCCAGTAGCTGATTGGTTGTCGTACATGTACAGTAAACAGTGGAAATGTATCCTATTTTAGGTGCTTTTCTTATCCCCATTCTCGGGCAAAAATCCTAAAATAAAATAGCTCTTATACACTGATGGACAGTTTTGAGTTATCATAAACAATGTCAGTAATTGAGCCAACCAACTCTGGGTGATGGATGTCAAACATGCGTGTGAAGGATCATCTCTATTATAAGAAGTATTTAAAGACCACACGTTACAATTTATTCTACATGAGTTTAGCCATTCAGTAAAATAGTTTAATAACTATCCTTTACGTCATTCTTGAATTCAGTTATTCACCACTTTGTATATAACTTATTAAAGTGGTTTTTTGTTTAACTACTTTAAAGATACTAACTATCTCTGACATTTTTTTACAGTTTTCTGACTCACTTTAATTCTACATGAATCTATAGCTTATACCAGATTCAGTGTTAAGGATCCTTGAAAGAATGTATTCTAATCTCAAAAACACTGCACTGTGATTGGTTGTCGTACATGTAACAGTAAACACTGCACTCAAAGGATAATGTTCCCTTCTTTCTTTCTTATTAAATCCCTAATGACATCACTAGATAACTGTATGAAGGATAATGTTCCCTTCTTTCTTTTGTTATTAAATCCCTAATGACATCATTAGATAACTGTATGAAGGATAATGTTCCCTTCTTTCTTTTGTTATTAAATCCCTAATGACATCATTAGATACTAATTGTGTACTTTAGATTGTGAAAGGTAATAACTGATTTAACTGATTAAGTACTTATATCTTTAAATTCAAAGCCAAAATCTATAAAAAAGTGAAAATGTGGACTATATCAGGGTCTTTTTTTTACCCACCTTTTCAGGCAAAAATTCTAAAACATAACAGACCATACACTGTCAGACAGTTTCTAGTTACCATGCACATTTTTCAGTAATTGATCCAGCCAACTATGGTTTGTGGAGGACGAAAGCCAATAAAGAAGTGGAAGTGTGTCTTATTTTATGGTTTCTTTTATCCCCATTCTCGGGCAAAAATCCTAAAACACAATACCCCGTGTAGACTGTGGGACAGTTTCCAATTGCCGTGCTAAACATAATGGTAATCGAGCCAGCTAGCTCTGGTTGATGGAGTCTTTAATAAATACAGTTATCTAATGATGTCATTAGGGATTTAATAACAAACGAAAGAAGGGAACATTATCCTTCATACAGTTATCTAATGATGTCATTAGGGATTTAATAACAAAAGAAAGAAGGGAACATTATCCTTCATACAGTTTTTACTACCTAAATAGACACCTTCTTCTAGTTCATATAACATATAGAAACACAAATAAATTTTTTATATACAGTTAATATTAACTTTCAATAATAGCAAGCTATGTTACTTAGAGCATAACTAAATGTCAATCAGTATCACTAATTAAATATACATATTTTAGTTTCTACTTATAAAGATTAGAATGTATTGTTTCCGATACTAAACATATAACAGTAATCAATGATTGATAGTTTGATAATTTTTTATTAATGTATCTAAGTATTTAGTTGAAATAGTGCACGTACACAACAGCAAGCTGTCACTGTGATCTGAATGGTATTTCGTCCCGATTGGCACACTTCCTTAAGATATAAGGGCCTGTGGGATGTTTTACTTTCCCCTCTATCAATAGTAATGGGTACTGCATTGACGGACACTTGCACCGAAGAAGGCCAGTTGGTGTTCATCTGCCTGTCTTCATGATGAAAGCATTTCAATTGTAACTCCAAATCTGAACGCATTAGTAGAGTTTGATATATGGATGGCTTAAGCTGGAAGAAATGATTGCTGACAGCGAGATTGTGTTCCAAACGGAAAGAAGGCAAAATAGTGCCATCTCTAACGGGAAAAGTGAGCCTCAACTCATTATCTTCTGTAAAATAAAACAGCATTAGATTTCCTGCAATAATTCTTACATAGGCTATAGATCTATTAATCATTCAAAAAATGTATTCCCATCTATTTCTTGATATTTACCAATAGAATTTGCATCTGTTATATAAAACTTTCTAAGACCGTATTTATTATTGGATATACAAGTTATAATATCGACGGTTAAAACGTTTCACCAGCATTTTGTGATATTTATAAGTAACACTTCCACTCATTGTACCCGATGATGCCAGGTTAACCTGGTGAAACATTGTAACCACAAGTATTATACTCTGTATATCTGATAACAAATAAGTTTACATCTTGATTTTTACGAACACACACACAACTATTGAACTCCAGATCATAAAACAGGCTTTAGTTAACAAACCTAAACATGGCTGTAATACACTTCTCAGAGCACATACGTGTAGATTTCCGTTACATTGATTCACAAGAGTTGTTATTTTTCTAAATATATATGGTTTATGGGTAACTCAATATAAAACACCATGGCCTTCAAGTTTGTACTTAATGTGTTATAAACAGAAAACTAACCACAAATACCATAATCAGTGATATATTCTTATCGAACTTTGTTTAGCAATTTTATATGTGTGTGTATATACTAATTACACAGGAAATGTTATCATTATTATTTAAAAAAAAATTATATTGTAGTGACTGCTACTTTAATTATAATATTTATTAAACAACACTTGACAATAAAACATTTAATAAGCCATCTTTCAGACATATTAACCTAAGATTCATAAGCTACATTTTAGTAGAAACAGCCATGGTGACGTAAAGCCGATGGTACACCAAAAAAGTAAGTCATCTACCGAGATGTTTTGTGTGTAGTTGTTTTTTTATCCAGTAAAAAGGAATCTTAATAATATAATATGTTGTTGACCAACACATGTATATGTTGTTGACCAACACATGCCCTGTTTCTGGAATATTTGAGTTGTTTTAAGCATTCTCTATGGTGTAATGAGTAACATTTAACTGTATAGTATCCGGACGTGAAGTAGGGGGTCATTCCTGAAGCTGATGTGAGGGGTGGTGTAGGATTTGTTGGTAATGGTGGCTGCTGGTAGCTAATTAGTCTGTGCTAGAATTTCAAGAACAATACATATCTTGGCATCTTAAAGAATTAATTATAAGTAATCAAACAGCTAAACAGTGTCCATTTCCTGCCAATAAAACATTTCCAATATAATAGTAAATGTTTTTATTTAATATAGAAACTCTAAGTACCAGGCCTTTAGACAGAATAATATTTCCACTTTATGACAGGCAAGTTACACAAAAGGTGATTATTAAGAACACTATCTGTAAATCAGTAAATCCTGCCAATAAAACATTTCCAACATAATAGTAAATGTTTTTATTTAATATGGAAACTCCAAGTACCAGGCCTTTAGACAGAATAATATTTCCACTTTATGACAGGCAAGTTACACAAAAGTGATTATTAAGAACACTATCTGTAAATCAGTTGTCCATTTCTACATCCTGAGTTTAAAAGTGTAATCAATATCTTTTTGTTAGTGCAAAGCTGCTCCACTTGACTATCAGCATTCTGTTCCCTACAGGGAAATGAACCCCAGATTTTAGCATGGTAAGTCTGCAAACTTATCACTGTAATGAACAGATACATTTTATCGAACATTTGGCTAGGTTTTTTAATTTCACACCTTTCTAAACAATACTGTCTCTACACATCCATATTTTTTTATAAAGTAAAGAGAGTTCAAGATTTACAAACCTGATAACATGGAGGGTTACCATAAGTGTTCCCATTGTACGTTTGCTGCTCATATGGCATTTGCTGTGGTGTGGAACCATTCAGTTGATTTGATGGGTAATACTGGTTCTGTTGTGCCATAAAAGGAGGCCTCATGGACGGTCGTATTGTTTGTTGAGGTGGGTAAGGCATAGAAGGGAGGGGCTGTTGTTGTAAAGATGGAGGGTAATGGTGTGGCTGTTTCACGAATTGGGAAGACTGGACTCCAGGATACTAAAAGTTCAACAGAAATTGTATCTTGGAATTTTCTACTGATAACTCAAGTTTCACTTACAGATAATAAAACATTCATCTATATAGATAGCTTCGCTTCCAGTGTGTTTGTTTCTTCTACACACATTGATTTAGTTTTCTCGTCAATCTTATACAACACTCTTTCTCACTTTAAGCAAAGTAATATTGTAAGATTGGTCAGTGTAGTTGTTTGGATAAGGGATGTTTCAAATAATCAAAGCTTGTCGAGGAAATAGACTAGCAATATACCTAAATGAGTAGGTATACCATCACGTTGTGTTTACTTTTCAGTTTAATTGATTCTTTAACAAGTCTGAGAACAACCAGTTAGTCTTAATTAATTGTAAGTAAGGAAATCACTCAATATTTTTTATACAAATTGTACTCTTGTTGTTCATACCAAAGAATCTATTACATTTTGATACGATAATAAAGAAAAACACTATATAAATATTTTTAAGGTACCCAAAAGAGCCATTGAAACAATTTAAAAAGTGGCTTGCATTACTTGAAAAGAATAACCCTAAAAGATTATCAAAAATAGGACAGAAATTCATTGATACTGTCATGAAATCCCGATCAGTCATCTCCACTTAAAGAATAAAAAAAGACCATAGTTAATAAACGGCTACACATATCGTAGAAACAAAGATAATCTGTTTCAGAAAAATTTAGTAGCTTTTTTTTTTTTCAGGGCAAAAAGAGATATTAAATCTCTCACATTATTTAACACTTATCTTTAAACAGGAATAGAAAGTCGGGGGAATCGAGACATTCCTATGAAGTGTATTAAAATACCACCAATGGATTTCTGGCTAAACAGACTTTAGTTAGAAAAATAAGTCACTTGTAAAGAGGAATAAAAATGCTTGGACTTTGTGCCCCCCCTAATTTTGGAAAACAGTATATATACAGAACACAATGTTATCATACTGAAACTAGCCAGAAGTGGAGAACCAAGCGATATATGTAACTAATTATTAAATACTTGATGTTTTACATATATGACAGCAATATTTCACAATAAGAGAGCTTCACTAAAGAACCTTATGGTGTATCTAAAGCTGCAATAGAAGCCCACCTCTGAAGAACTGTATGAATGTTGAGCATTGAATCCATACGATGGCATGTTAGTGTTATACTGTGGAATTACGCCGCTGTTGTACGGTGGCTGTCGTTTCTCCGCTAGATGCTGGGCAGGACTCGGATATGGTGTTGGACGATTTCTGTGCTGGGGACCGATCCCACTTCCCATATTTGGTACAAGTTGCATACCCACTTTGTGCAGCTCATTAGTCATGGTCATGGAGTCATTCATTCCCATGTGGGAGTTGAAGGGGTTCATCATGGGGTTGTTCATTACTCCACTTGATTCATCCATGGATATCATGGGGTTCTCCATTTGTGCAAGGCCATTTGATAAATGTGGATTTCCAGGAGCACCGTGGTATTGCTGTTGGTCTTTCATACCCTGCATCTGGTAAATTAGATGAAATTTATTTGATTGAGAGTGGAGAAAAAACAGAAACAAGTTTAAATCATCTTCTACTGTCCTCTGACTTGTCTTAGCTTTTTATAACTACAACGACTGACATATATTCTGACTTGTCTTAGCTTTTTATAACTACAACGACTGACATATATTCTGACTTGTCTTAGCTTTTTATAACTACAACAAAAAACATATATATTTCAAACAATGAAATATAAAGAAAGTTAGTTACTGACTAGTCCCTAATACTTATTTATCTTCTAAGGTTTGTTTCTCAAAAATTCACTTTCATTACACGACTAATATATATTTATCACTAGAGAAATGAGGTCTTTATTTATTACAAACTTAGACTGAGGTGAAATAATTTATGTAATAACTCTTCGAACACTTAAAAAATAGCAGAACAGTTTTATCCATTGACAAGATTATTTCAGGTAGACATAGAATAAATGATATAAGATTATGAACCACTGATAAAGGATTAATACCTAATCACTGATAAAACTACCTTGAGTGATGTTACTGAACGTGGGATTGTTAGTTACTTGGAAAATTAATACCCTATTGTCTTCTTTAAATTACAACTGTTTTGATTATTTATTCAAACCTGAAGAGCTGGGTGATTAGTGGAATATGTTAATCAATTAATTGTTCGGCTCATTAATTAATTACATTCAACTGATAGATTATTCTCACATGAGACTTGAATAGCTGGAGTAATCAGACACACTCATAATTTATTATTTGATTATTTTCATGAGTCACAACACTAACTGATTAAACTGAACAACCCCGAATTACTTGAAAATAACAACAAAACATTATTACCTGACCACCATACTGGGCACCCATTACTGCTTCTTGGTGCTGCTCGTGGAATGCTACAACACTAGCAGTAGCAGTAGCAGTGGCAGTAGCAGCAGCTCTTGCTACAAGTGCTGCTGCACTAAGAGCACCTGATGGATTTGGGTAATCTCCGTGGGGTCCATTTCCAGGAGAAGGCACCGGTCTTCCCGTAGAGGTTGGTGCCATTCCGTAACTGTTCAACGAAGAGTATTATAATGAAATTATGGGATCCAATTCATTTCTTTTAACAAATATTTTCCATCTACAACGACTGACATATACTCTGACTTGTCTTAGCTTTTTATAACTACAACGACTGACATATAGTCTGACTTGTCTTATAATTAGTAAGAGCATTATAATGAAATTATGGGATCCAATTCATTTCTTTTAACAAATATTTTCCATCTGTTTCTGTATAACTTCATTTTAGTGAATGTGTTATGTATTCTACGTATGAAATAAATACAAAAACACACACACACATAAATATAAAACACAAAACATTCGGGTTTCACACCGATGACCATAGGTTTTAAACGCTCTCTTTTTTT